AAAGTAACCGCTGTGAAACTTGTGAGACTTGAAACACTTCTAAGCAGCTTTTCCACTTTGTGATTTGCTTCTCAGGTGTAAACCTTTCTCAATGCTTAAAGAGACCTGATACATATCTGCTACTCTGATAAACCTAAAGAATCTACTGTAAGTTTTTTCAAGAGAGCAAAGATGCTTATTTTAATGTTATAGTTAGCTTAGCCACCTTTTGCTTTTACAGTGAAAGAATAATAATTTATGTTTATATTATCCTATTTCCTCCTGGGGCTTCACATAAGCTTTCCTCTTACAACACTAGCCTTCCAGAAATCCCATCTTCTGAAACTGAGAAGGCTGTAAGAAGGAGATGAAATTTCAAATCATTATTTATATTCCTTAGGTAGAGCATTGAAGCATATTCTGCTAACACACGCTATTTTTGGTTGAAAGCTAATAGTTAATATGATTGCAGCCCATCTGTTGGATTGTTCCAAATGACAAAACAGAGATGAAGTTATCTCACAAAGCCAAACGTGTGTGTGCTAAATCGATACTTATTTTCAGAATATCACCACTGTTGACAACACATTGGTCAGAAGCAAGTATTAAGTCTGCAGGCTTGTATATAGTACTCATTGACATGATAGGAATGTGTTCTTGTGGAGGGTAAGGCCCCATATGTTTCCATTTAGATAGTTTTCAGTAAGCTTTTAAATCTTGTTAAAGACCATGCTAAGCTTGGTTTTGAATGATCAGTTGGGAAACATCATATTTAAAACATTGCTCTATTAAATTCAAATCTCTTGTAGAGATTGAATCTGGTATTATAAAGAAAGAAAGAAATGGGGGGAAACGAGTTCAAATTCAAAAGGTAGAAGCCAGTTCACAAAACTCATTGTAATTCTTGGAGCCACGTGAAAGAAGAGACATAATGTGGTTCAGTGTATTCATATTGTGTCCTGTGATTCCAGGAATGTTATAACTAATGAAACTATGCTTTTCTGAAGAAAATTTTATCATCCTATGAGTAAGCCTTGCTGTGGAAATTTTTACTTGCCCAAGAATGTATTTGAAATGTACTATATTAGGGATGAATCCAGCAGTGAAGATACTCAGCATATAGAAGTCCCATGTACGTAAGGAGTCGGATTCCTTTTTAGTATTCTTTGAAGCAATTCTGCAAGATGTTCAGGACCTGAAAACCTGGAACTGAAGTACCTTTGACCAAGAATTTAAGTGTCTCCTTATTGTTCTCTCCACTTCTAATGGCACACTTGTATCACTACCTATCGAATGGAATAAATAGACACATCTTAAGTCTATACATTCGCAGTATCTCCAGAGATCAACGATGACAACTGCAAAAGCATGGTGTCCCCATTGTACATAGGAAGGGAGTGCCAAGGTCACTCAGACTAACATGTTCCAAGTAGGCAATTTCTGTTTTGTTAGTATGTCATGCTTTCCCTTTATCACAAAGTCTATCCAAAGATGGCAAAGAAGTGTTGGATCCAAGTCTTCAATACTCTTTGAGAAAACTTTCAGGTTTAAAGTTTATGCCAGGCAAAGAAGCTTCTTCTCCCTGCTCCAGTCATTACAGAAACTCCTGGTGGTGTCTTCAAAAAAAGTTGTTAGTTGCATGGCTTGCTTTACACAGTTGACAGTAACTGGTAGTTTGGAATTTTTGAGGTTAGAATGGAGCATCTATCTTAGGTAGCTAAATTAAAAAACTAGTTTCTCCAAAGCACGATCAAGAGCATCTCTGTTAGGCTTTCTGCTCTGACTCACCACTGTCTTTATTGTTGTACGGGGAAATGAGCTTCATAATTCAGGCACTTAAGATAGTTGTCATAAATTAGGCTGTTTGAAAACTCTCATCTGTAGGTATTACCTAAGCTCTTTTTTCCACTGGATAAACGTTTAATCATTCAGAAAGTGTGACTTGTTTTTAGCCTTCATACATCTGCCTTTACAATTATTTCCATGAAGTTTTTACTCTTTCAGGTAGTCCCACTGAGCTCAGTGCACCAGCCAAGATTATTTCTATGAGTAACACCTGTTGAATCTGATTCTATATTTGGTTTCTATAACTCAGACCCTGGTCTTTGTGTTGTGCATGTGTCAATTCTCTCTTGCACGTCCCTCTTAATGAGGTCCCTGCATTTTTTTTTTACTCCAGTCTTCCTGCTGGTCTTGCACAAAATAACGTGTATAAGGAGAGGGAAATAATGCGGTAATGGATAACTCAGCACCTTTTCCTGCTCTGCCCTGCTTCATTTATAGCTACGTAATCAATCCAGTACTTTATAAAACTCTTTTACGTTGTTAACTTTGAATTAGAATCAGATTAAAATCCAGCGTGCATTTATCTGTATTTGCCATGTTACTGCCCCTACAGTACACAGAGTGTCTTAACAGTCCAGCATTTTTGGTGCTGGAGGTTTTAGTGGATAAAACCATTTTTTATTTTCATGAATGCCATTCTAGTCTAACCTGCACTCCAAAATGAAATGAGTTTAGTGGTCTGAGTCCTGTCCCTGGTGAACAATAGTCCTCATTACAAAACCGCCAAACAGGCACAAAGCTGGCAGTTTCTGCTGAGGGACCCTCAGACCCGGCCAGCATGGAGGCACAATTGTCTTACACCCCAGGGAGTGATTTTTTTCTAGGTTAAGATTGAGGTCATTCATAAGGCAATAGGGAAAATCATCTCTTGTGAAACCGGTCTCTGCATCAGCCAGGGAGAGCAGTTCCCAGCGCTGCTGCTGCAGGCTCAGTGCTCGCTCTGGTTAAGAGGTTTTATAATCTGGGATCTCTGATTTAAGACCATCTCAGTTACATGTGCCGTTTACTTTGTAGTGGAATATGTAAACAAAGATTTGCATTTTGGGGTGATGTTTTCAGCAGGTTATTTGCTGGAAAGAATACCTTAATATAGGTAAATTCCTGGTTCTGCTACAATTAGTAAGTGTTTTGCCTTTAGTTAGAGAGCTGGGAAGTTACTGTGAATATATGAAGGTGCTAGCCATATGGTAAATATACTAATTTATGTTCGTTAGTGCATTATTGACTGTATCACCTATTCATTAAGACGTTTTCCCAAGAGTTGCTCTGACAGCGAAGCTGAGAGACCTTAAGTGGCTGTCATCTTTGTGCCAAATGGATTAAAACAAAAAATGCTCAGCAATTCTCAGTAGATCAGCGCTCAATTTCAGCTGGGTCATACCAGGTTAACAAGCCAAAGTATCAGGTTTCTTTTTTTTTTCTTCTGGTTAAAAAAGACCAAACAACTGAAGTTTGTTTTCATTCATACCATTAGCTATTTCAGATCAAAACTCTGTGAGAACATTTTTATTTCGGAGCATGGTAACACAATTTAGATTATTTCATACCTGTATTAAATTAACCATGTGCAAATTCAAATTAATCTAATTATTTTTATTTCATCTGCTGTGTAAGTAAGCCTTAAACCTCTAGTGATTCCTGAATAGGGAAAGTGGCTTAACAGGAGAAATGAATACAGGGCTATCTGTCTGAATCTGCAGGGAGCCTGAAAAAATACCTGGTAAGTGACAGGTTTCCCACTGATTTTACGGTGATAGCTCAGCTTGTCCAGCTATGGTCATTTACACTCTACTCCATTAGTAGTTACCCTATCACTAAAGACTAATGAAGGGGGGAATCATTGATTTGTACTATCTGACTTTGGTAGTGTCTCACTAATCTCTAGCCTAGATCATATAAAGAGACTGTAACATTGCCATCACTCCAGAGCTTGTTCCTGAAAGTCAATCATCAGCCAGAGAGGACACAGGTAGAGTAATTCTTCCTTGGGTCAGGGCAATGGAGGAGATTGCTTTCAAGGTCCATTCCCCTTTCCTTTTTTATAACATTGGCAGTATAAACACGGAACATTTTTTTGAAAACTGGCATACAGAAGCAAAATCCCTGGGTTGGAGAGAGGACGTAGAAGGAAGGAGGAATGTACCTCTGGGATGGGCACCGGTGGGAGAAAATTCTTCGGGGTCCACGAGCTCTGCCAGCACGTCCAAACCACCAGCCTGTACCCACCAAACAAGCAGAGTGAGCTCCCTTCAAAGCATTTTTTCTCCTGCCTGCAGATTGGGGGGGTCACAACACACCTCTTACCTTCAGCTTACTTTTTCCAGTTTTTAGTTTTCTTCTGTAACTGCAAGGAATAGAATTAATAAAGTTTTGAAACACTCTGAAAGCTTAGACTCAAGTATTGTCTTGTGGCCTATGCCACAATCAAGCTCATCGTAAAGATAACTGAGACCTACTGGAGCGGGGAGAGAAAGAGGAGTCTTGGCCCAGCAGTGTGCACGAGTTTATTATCATACTTTGAAGGATATGTCAGCTGGAGGAGATGTCAGGTTTCTTTTGGACACCTCTACCCTTTGCTTTCCCACTTCATCCTCCCCCTAACCTCTGTGCAAAAGCCAGAGCTCTGGTACAGCTTAGTCAGGTGGGGTTGGGTGTCTCATTTGATAGCAGATATTTCTAGTCTTCTCTCTATTTTGACATGTGTTTAAATTGCAAAACTTTGGACCTTGTTTAAAGTTTGTGGGTTTTAATACATGTTTATGCTGTCTGTCTAACAATATATTTTTAAAAAATATATTTTGGACGATTTTAACCAAATTCAAGTGTGTCAAAGATATTAAGCCCAAGTGAATATTGCTCAAATTGGCAGCTGTAGAGGTGAGAGGGAGCCTGATAATGCTCCTACTGTGGGGAGACTTACCCCTTACTTCACATGGGAAAATAATCCTGAGAGAGAGATCAGGGAACACCAGTCTTTTGGTTCTGCTATTTATGGAACTACTTGTTTATTCTTAGAAATCCTTTGAGGGTACTTTTGTAAACTGAGCATCTACTCTGTACGAAAGTGTCTAGATGGTCTGTGACAAGTGACGTATTACTTTGGTTGTACGTGATCACGGCATGTTCTGGTTACCCTAGTAAAATTGGTGGGTTTTTTATTTCTTTCTCTCCCCAAGATTTCTTTCGACCTAGCAGAATATACTGCTGACGTTGATGGGGTTGGCACTTTACGGCTCCTAGATGCTATTAAGACCTGTGGCCTTATCAACGCTGTGAAGTTCTACCAAGCCTCCACCAGTGAACTTTTTGGAAAAGTGCAAGAAATCCCGCAAAAGGAGACCACCCCTTTTTACCCAAGATCGCCTTACGGTGAGGATCGCTGATGGGGTGTGTGTAGTGTGTGTCTGTCTGTTCTCCCCGCTCATGTCTCAGGGCTGAAGTCATTTGGGTGTGAGATTAGAATGACGATAGAGCTAAAGTGACTAGACATGTCGAGAGGCATACCTTTATGAATTACTATATAAAAAGTATTTGCTGCCATTGCCCGGGGGTTGGAAATTAGCATCTCACTTCACAAGACTGTGTTCATTCAGCTCAGAGGTAGAGAGCTCTTGGGGGGGGGGAAGGGTGGCTCTTCCTTCACAAAGGGTTGTGAGATACCGCTGAAGTGATAAGGTTTCATATTTTGTTGCCTAAATGAAAAATTCCCAAGAGCTCACTTCTTCCTTCATGAACTCGCATGAAATTTGAAACACTTATTAAAGCAATGTGCATGAAGGACTTTGGTGATAAAGTTTCAAATCAATTTGAGTGTTAAGGCACCAGATTTTCGCGTTTATTCCTCCAAAGTCATTTTTTTTTTTACTAGCAGAGGTCACCACAGTGGCGTATTTCACACGCTTTGGCTGTGTTAATTATATTGTAAAAGAAAAAGTGCTATGCTTGAGTGTGCATAAGAAAACAAGTGAGAAAGTGCCCTAACGCTTCCTGGCCAGTTCAGAGGCTGCATAGAAAAGGAGTATTTCTCCATTCAGCTGCTGTTTATTGGGCTGGATATTTTTTCCGTATGAAATGTGACACATATAGGGGACACATATAGGGAGGAATGAATCAAATTCTAATGCACTCCACTGTTGAAACGTGGACTTCAGCCTGCATGTGAGAGATGTGTATGTGTGTCTGTCTGAGCTGTGTACAAGCAGAGCGGATATACGTAACACCTTAAAATTGTTTTTGTAGGGGCAGCAAAACTGTATGCCTACTGGATTGTGGTGAACTTCAGAGAGGCCTACAATCTCTTTGCTGTGAACGGCATCCTCTTCAATCATGAGAGCCCCAGGAGAGGTTAGAAAATCCATGTGAAACTGTTCCCAACTTTGCGTACATCTGACCGGAAAAATGTAACAATGCATCCACAGGTTTCATTTAAACTTGCCAAAATTCTGTAGGGAGGGTGTCGTGACTCGTCGCCTGCTCACGGCGTTTAATGCAGCCCTCCTGGCAGTCTCAGGGCCTGCAGAACAGCAGCTTTCCCTTTCAAGCATCATATTCCATTTTGTAGCCCTCTGATGCTGAAGGGAGCCTTGTGTATCTGATTTTGTGTATCAGTGCTCTCGAGAGACTGCAATAACGTCGTAACATAACTGAGTTTTCTTTCCCTCTTGATAATAAGTTAAGGCTAAAATATTAAAATGACACATTAAAAGACAGCTTTTCTAAGCATTTAGGTGTGCAACTGCATAACAGATGCAATTTCAGGTGTGACTTGTACTCAAGATTTTTATTTGCGTATAAATGTCAAATTAAGAGGCAGAAATAATAGACCCTCTAAATTCATAAGACTAATGAGTACAGCCTGGTATATTTTGAAAAATTTGTAGATTGTGGCCCGTAGCTTCTGACAAGATGGCTTTTAACACATGGCTTTAAAATGCCTTTCTGTTTAATCCTTAATAGCAATACAGCTTAAATTCCACTTAATCATCCCTTTTCCTCTTACAGTACTTTATGAAAAATTAATACTGGTATTTAGTTTGAGTAAGAGTCCATGGTTGATTAAAAGTCTCTTATACAATGACAGTTTTCCTCTGCCCTTAAAGTACTGTGACTGTAGAAAACACTCCAAAACTAACTTTAAATTAACACAGAAAACTGGATTCTCAGCGCAGAAGCCTTTTATTGTGGTCTGTTTCTAAATGAAAAATAAATTCAAGTTTTACAGGAATGCAATTATATAAATTATAGCCTGGCACAAAATATAATAATTTTAATCATACGTACAAATATAAAATAGACCATAATTGCAACTCTGTTTAAAAAAAAAAAAAGGAGAAAAAAGGAGTTGGTGTCAATAGGATTTAAATATTGATTTCAGTCTTTGGGAGTCACAGCTGCGAAACCTCATAGTACACTGGGTAGGCAGCATTTACAGTAGGTGGTGCATCAAATACTTGGTGGTAGAAGTTGGTGCATCATTTCACTGGACTAGATGATGGTACAAGTTCAAAATTAAGAGAATCAAATTCACTAGATTGTTTTGTTTAGAAGCCCTAATATTTTGCTTTCTTTTAAACAGTTCACTGCAATATATTCTTGGTGCACTGTAAACTGATGTCCAAATTGCTGAGTTATCATTATGCAATTTAAACATTCTGACCAACATAAAAAATGAGGGAATGTGCAATGACAAATATTAGCTTGGCATGATTTCTAGTAACACTAAGGAGCAACAAGATGAGATGGAAATTATAGGAACACGTTTATCATTTGTGCTGCTTCTCTATAGGCTTGTGCCATTTTGAAGGGGGAAAACTTCAGTGCTCATTGCTATTTTGATCCCTCTGACATTTGTTCCAGCTTTGACACTGCTGCAATGGAGCTTCCAATCCGAAGTCTCTTTTCAACACATTTAATGTCCCCATGGAGAACCCAAGTCTGTGCTTTGAAGTCTCAGGCTGTACTTTTGGTTGTGTGTATGTGCTGGGTGCAGTTTTAAGCCCTTTATGCCACGAACAGGAAGAATCTTGTCTTAGAAATGGTTTCGGTTGGGTCCGTTTGCCTTAGCGGGAGTACATGCCATGAAAGCAACTGTAACCACAGCCCAGTGCCTTTTGCTAAGTGTTTTTATGGGAGAAAGTTTGAAAATTTATACAGAGAAGAAAATGGAAGAAAAGTAGTTTTGAGGTTGTTTCTTAATAGCCATTCATTACTTTCCTCATGTTTGTGAAGACTGCAAAGGCGCTTTGGGAGGAAAAGAGAATTTAACTGGGATTTCTAATTCCTATGCAGACATGGTAATATACATGGAAGTTTTAAAATGCCTTATGGTTTGGCCTTTTTTTTGTGTGGTTTTTTTTTTTTTTTTAATTCTACTGATTTCAGAGATTAGGAATACCTAAATAAACCAATACATATTTTATTCCAATATTACATACCATTATTCCAGTTGGTTTAGTGCTACACTGAATTGATTGAACACAACATCCCATTGATGGTGATACTAAGTGCATCTTGTCCACACAAAACATAATGCCCAGGAATCAGTGGAGAGCAGTGGCAGTGCCGCTTGCTGGGGTGCAGAGTTGATCTGTCCCGGCAGACAGTGCATATTTTTTCTCCGTATCTGAAGTGTTAATTGTACTTCTGAAAATTTCTCTAAGCTTCCTACAGTGAATGTATTTATAGGGAAAGACTGTGAAGAGACAAATCCTAGTATTTCTTGTAGGCAGGGATCCATGAGTTATGTTACACTGTAAGGCAACGGTAAGGATGAACAGAATGCATTTTTGGTACCTGGCAGCCTGTGTTGTGGACTGTGATCAAATACAGAAGTATTTGTATTTGAATTACCAGCACTCATGATGAAGGAAGATGAATTGCAGTTGTCTGCCAAGTGGCTGTGAGCAGCTGGTCACTGAGGCTGAATTGAACAGACAATTGCAAGGAGTTTGCTTCGTGATCTCCCTTCATATAGTGTTCAGGTATTATACTGCTGGGGCTGCGATACACGAGCCTAGCGAAAATGAGAACTGTCTAATCTCCAGAGCTGCTTCCCTGAGAAAGGAATTTAGGAATATACACCTCTTATTTCAGCATACCGATTTTTCTCCTTAGCCTTCCTGGTTTTAACTCAGAAAGGAGCACCAGTAGTTGATCTCATGTAGCCTGTATAATAATAGGGAAGTCGACACAGAGTTCATAAGGGTAAAGAGTACTTAAGTCTGATATGAGAGGTTTCCTATTTCTCGAAATTACCAAGGCTTGAGAGGAGTGCTGGCTTTGAGAAGCTCATCTGATTTTCTACTTTGGTCTTTCTCTTATAAAGCAAGATAATAACAGGAGTAGTTCTTAAGATGTGACACCATATTGCAAATCTGAATACTTAAGTTTGCTGCATGGGCTTGCTTTTAAGTCTGATGTTTCACTGGGTTGTCAAGCATTGGAGCAGGCTGCCCAGGGAAGTGGTTGAGTCACCATCCCTGGAGGTATTTAAAAGACACATAGATGTGATGCTTAGGGACATGGCTTAGTGGTGGACTTGGCAGTGCTAGGTTAATGGTTGGACTCGATGATCTTAAAGGTCTTTTCCAACCTAAACGATTCTATGTTTCTGTGTTATGACAGCCACAGTGACTTTACAATAAACACCAGTGATAAAGTCCGGGCTGGTTGAACCACCTGTCTGAGCCTTACATCTTAATTTGGGAATAGTACAGCATTATTAAATTGCACAAATACTCGGGTCCATACTCAAGAGATACGTGTGTATGTAACAACAGAGAATATTATCTAAAATCTCATATGGTGTAAAATGAGTGGCTATGTTAGACTAATCTTAATGAAATATACATCTACTCTGAGCCTTTCTGTAGTACTTTCTAATTTTTTTCTTTGTATTATACATACTGCCTTTCATTTCTTAGTCACTTTTATGGTTTTATAAGACGAAATAGTCACTTTTTGACCAGTACATGCTTTTCAGCTCACATAAATCAACACAGCTGCACCGAAGTGAATAGGGTCATGTTGATTTATGCCAGCTGAGGGTCTGGCATAGTACTTCCAGTAATGGTCTGGTAATGTAAGATAAGCATAATTTGCTTGCTTTGGGGAAAAGACCTGTATTAGCAGTATACCTTGCTAAAGCTGATTTCTTCAGTTACTTTCATCAATTTTATCCAGGTATAGCTCAAGTGTTTCCTGATTTATGGCAATGCCAAAGAAGAATGGGATCTTCCATTTCTGATGCTTATTTATTGTCTAAATATGACACTAGCTGAAAAGCAAAACGCTCTCTATAGTGGTAGTGAGCTACAAGGTGGCCTCTGTTTCCAAAAATGAACAAACAAAAGAAAACTTAAAAAACTTTCCCAGAATGCTGCATCTTTTTTTCTTTTTTTTTTTTTCAAGACAACATTATGGGATACCAAATGGGGGAGGTGGTGGCCACCAAGTTGCTGGTGGCGGTTGAACATGGCTCCCAGTATTTACCAGTGTGGAAATGTCTGCCCTATAGCAATATTGGAAAGGTATTTCTCTTCAGTGAGATGACGGTTTTGACAGTGGAAGAGTGAGGCAATTAGCCAGTCTAGTTTTCAGGAAAGCTGGGGCTCGATCCAAGCCTTTTTTACACCATCGGAAAGATTCCTGTTCTTTTGCTGGGCTCCGGATCTCACTAATACCTGCTTTTCTGAGTGAGAAAGCAAACTGCTTGTTGACAGTGTCATTTGTTTCTTCCCAGACAAGCCCTTACTTTTTTCTCCTCAGTTCTCTGTAAGAAGTTTTCTCAGATTTACAAGATGTGCCTTTGGATGTCTGAGATAACTTTCTGATTTGGTTAACCACTTCATTGCTTGCCTCATCTGATCTTTATCTGCCAAGGTGTACAAACATGTACAGCATGTTTCCTGACACAATGCAACAGAAGTTTTGTTTGGTTTTTGTTGGTTTTTTTTTTTCCCTAAGTAATAAATACTTTGCCTCCACACATGACATCATTGTGTAGATCATTCAGTAGGGAATTTTTGTTTGTCTGATACCAACCCTGGTAAAGCAGTTGTCATCAGACCATTGCTGTATAGCCAGAGGGAAAGGATACAACTGCTCATTTCTGTGATCTCTTTCAGCCGGGCAGGAAATGGCTAGGTGTTAGATTGCAGGCTGAATGTTGTCAAAGTAAATGTAGTAAGATTAAAATGAAAAGAAATTATGATTTAAAGAGAATGGGGAGTGTTCTTTGCTTTTATTGTGCATCTGGATCACAGGTTTGCCAGGGGGAAGGGGGTAAGAGGTTCCCCTGCTCGCTGTAAATATGTTTGGGTATCTTTTGAATTTATGTTTTTTGT